TGATATGATCTTTAGTTTTTTACAAAAGTTTACTTTTAACATAGCAAAAGTTCAAAATTTACTCTGAAAACAAAAATTTCAGTTGTTTTCTACTCCACTATGAAAACATCTGTTTAGTTTCTTACGCTACAGGTTAAAATAATTAGACTGGAAAAATATAAAAGCCTGAAGCCTAAAGATTATATGCACAAAGTTCAAATACTTGCTCTAAGAAGGAATTCTCATTTTATTGAGTAATGAAAAGTTAACAGTTCCAGAGTTATGCTACTTCTTTAAAGAAAAAATTTACTTATGCAAAATGAAATCAATTTTTAAAATCTCCTTCCTTACTTTTTTATCTTTTTCTATTTTTTCTTTTTAATAAATGAATGACATTTGGCTGGTTTCTCTTTCCCACGCACAGGGGGCAAAATCACAAAAGCAAAGTCCCGTTAATGTTGAACCTGAAGGATCTTGAAGCCAGGTGTGCTTCCTGTTTGTATGAAAAATTTTCAAGTGATGATTCAAATTGAATGAAAAATAAATAAAACTGTACAAGAAGAAATAAGAAAACTGAACAAAGTATTTAATTCTTATTTTGATTTCGACTTTGACTCATATCAGTCTGGTTCAAGTATTTCTGTATTAGAAAAGAATTGCCCCTACTCAAAATCTAAGTTAAAATTTTAACTGATTCAGATTTAGATCGTGAAACTTTTTTACTCTTACAAGTATTCAAGTTTAATTGAAGTGAAATTTTTATTACCTACTCTTCTTAAATTGAATTTTATTCCATTGTTCTGTATAATGAAGAGCTTAATTTTTAACTGTTGTATTTTTATTACAATCAGTAATGTTTGAAAACATTTTTATTAAAAATTGTTCATCTAAACGCTCAAAACTTGTAAATTAGGTATAATTTCACTTTTCTGTAAAATATATAAAATATATAAAATGTATAAAATGTATAAAATAATCCCGACAATTCTCTACACTTACACCTACAGAAATGGAAACAGTTCCAAAATAAAGAAAAGTTAACAAAACAAAAGAAAAAATCAGGCACAAACCACAAAGTTGCAAACCAGTTTTCACGTTCCTTTTAAAACTTCTCGATCGTGTTCTTTGCGACCTTCAAAAAAAAAGAAGAAGAAGAAAAAGAAAAAGAAAAACAAACCCCAAAGAAACTGTAATAGCAGGACAAATATAATTTAAATCTACAAGAAAATATTCCGAAGAAGCAGAAATTCCCTTTCACTATTTCGTTTTTCCTAATTCAACAAAAAAAAAAAAATTGTTATGTATAAAAATATCAGAATTGGCCTTTTTCCTTTCCTTGCATAATCTCCTCTATTGGGTCATTAACTTCAAATAATGTAGCAGACAGAGAAAGACAATTTAATTTACGTTTCCACAAAAATACAATAATTTGGTTATAAAAATTTCTCCTTTTCTTTGCAGAGGGGGAAAATTATTTAACATTGGGAACGATAAAAAAATCGTTATTTAGAAATAGCTCATTGATTTGGAAAGAGGAACGTGATGTAGAAATAATCACCAGTTGGCGCGTGTTTTAGTCATGCGCTTTTATACACACACACAAACACAAATATATTTAAATATATATTCGTTTTAAAAATGTTATAACATCTGCGCTGATATAAAAAAGAATAAACAAAAAAAAAAAATAATAAACGATTATTCAATATTTTCTGCTCTTCTGTTGATCTTGTTTTACAACAATACTCGAAAAATCATATTTGTGGAGAAAATTTAAATATACCTATAAGTAAAGATGAACCCTTCTGTTATTTTTTTACTGCTAATTAATTGTTATGTATTTTATAACCAATCTTTTGCCAAAGCATTTTTTGTTGCCAGAATTTAGTGCGCCATTTACGTATTTTTATAGAGCAGGACAACAAAAAGAGTTGACAAAAGAGTTAACAAAAAAAAGAAAAGAAGAAGAAAACGAAAATGACGTACGCAATTCTGAACAAAATTAAGAGACTTGTCTATTTTTATCTTCTCTTTTGTTTCGACGTTTCAAGAAATCAGAAAATGATATAGAAAAAAGGGAAAACAATGAAAGATATAAATTTTTCATTTAGAAGTTTAGATTATTGCTCATCACTTGGAACTTCTGTAAATGATGGTTCCAAAGATTTTAAAGTTTTGAAAGGTTCAAATTTTTATTACTTCCTTCAACTTTTTATTTTCATGACTTCATTTAACTGTCCTAACTTTTAAAATTTTAACCCACTTTTGACTTAAAACTTTTTGACTATTACTAAACAAACAATTTATTAATACATTATTTTAAATTTTAGCGTGGTCTTGATGAAGTTTTTTGGCTTTTAATGCCAACAAAAATAAAGTATTTTACTATTGAAATTGAAAGTATTAAATTTCAACGAATTGATTTGTACCATAAAACTGGTGCAAAAATTTTGTTATGCTATTCTTCAAAATTATTTGTATCATTTCAATTCAATTAACAGTTCCTAGAGTTTTTAACTCAAATTCTACTTCAAATCAATAACATCAATTATTATTCAATTAAACTTTTTCAAAAAAAAATTAATTCTACAGAATTGTTAGTTAAAAGTACGAAAAATAATAATTTAATTCTATATGAGAAATCAATTATTTTAATACAAAAATAAATAATATTGAATGTTTCTTAAAATTTAATTTTTACGAAGAATTGTATTAACAACTTTTGAAAATATTTAATTTCTTTTAAGGAATTTAATTAAAATTTTAATGAAATTTATTATATAAAGGGAATTTGAACCATTATGACGTCACAGTTTTAAAACAAATGGTTTCAACAAATTGTGACGTCATAATGGTTCAAATGCCCTTAAAGATTTTTAAAACTATTTTTGAAAATAATTGAAAACTTTTTGAAGAATTTTATTAAATTATTTAAAAATAATTAAATTCCAGAGAAGAATTTAAATAATAATTTTTGAAAACAATTGAATTGATGAGAAGAATTTTATTAAAATTTTTGAAAATAATTGACTTTATTGAGAAGAATTTTTAAAAAGTTTTTGACAATAATTTAATTCTTGAGAAGACGAAAATTTTAAAAAAAATTTTGAAAATAATTTAATTTCTGCAAAGTATTTTATTTATTTATTACTTTTCAAAAGAATAATTTAATTCTTGTGATGAATATTGAATATTTATCAAAATAATTGAATTTTGGAAAAGAATTTTATTAAAATTTCTTAGAAATTTAGAATAATTGATTTTATGGGAAGAATTTATGCGATTTTGTTGTTTATCAAGATAATTGAATTTTTCTGCAAAATTATTTAAAGATTGTTTGAAAATAATTGATTTTCTGCGACGAATTAAATGTTATTTATGAAAATATTTGAATTATTGCAACGAATTTTCTTGTTTTATTGAATAATATTGAATGTTTCTTAAAATTGAATTCTTTCAAGTTTTAATAAAATTTTAATAATTGCATTTTTCAAGGAAATCATTTCAAATTGTATTAAAATATTAATATTTGAAATTCTGCGATGAAAATAATTGAATTCGTAAATGAAATTTCATTATTTATGAGAATAATTGAATCTTTTCGTATAGAATTGTATCAACAAGTTTCTTCTATAATTAAATCTGTTGATAAATTTTATGAAAATAGTAAATATTTAAAAACATTGAATTGCGAAAAAATTTTCAAAATAATTGAAATGTTGCAAAGAATTTTATTTAAATTTTTGAAAAATAATTGAATTTTTGGCAAAAAATGTTGCTATTTTTAAAAATAATTGAATTCCTGACGAGATATTCATTAAAATTTATAAAAATAATTGAATTCGTGCAAAGTATTTTATTAAATTTTGTTTAAATAATTGAAATTTTGACAAGAATTTAATTAAAATTTTTGACAATAATTGAATTCTTAAAAAGGATTTTGAGATATTTATCAAAATAATTGAATTTTGGAAAAGAATTTCATTAAAAATCCTTAAAATAATTGATTTTATATGGGGAGAATTTTGTTGGTTATCAAGACAATTGAATTCTTTTGCAGAATTACTTAAAAATTATTGAAAATAATTGATTTCCTGCGACGAAAAAAATAGGGGAAATTTTTAAAATAGGGTACACGTTTAGGGGCCAAAATTGAAAAAAGGGAACTCTTTTAGGGAAATAGGGAACAAACTGTGAAGCCTGGATATTTCTCTGGGATGTAATTCTTCTGAAACCATATTGAACGTACAGCTTCCTATATAGTTATTTTGAACATATATTCGTAAAATCGAGGATAACCATAAATGTTCGACATATGGTGGGCCAATGCAAAATGAAGCTTTAACGGAGAATCATGTTTATGCAATATAGTGATTGCTGGGATATTCGTACAATGAACATGAAATAACACATGCTACGTGTGTCTAAAGCTCACAGGTCGTTGACATCGAGCTCTTCTCTATCCACAACTCGGTAGGGTCGTATATATACGAGGGAGGAATACAAGAAACCATATTATTATATTTCATATGTAATACATACACAAAAGAAATTAAGAATCATTACAGAATATAGAGAGAGAAAAGTAGATTCGAATTCATCTTTTCAAACAAAACCCTTTCTCATCACGTTAATCTTTGAAATATTTTAGGTAAATCTGTTGGAAAATCATTTTTGAATCAAAACAAAGCATTCATCTTTTCGAAGTTCCTTTCTTACCGCATCAATCTGAAGTATTTTACATATTCTAAATCTGATGTAAAATAAATTTTGAATCGAAACATTCATCTTTAAAAAATTCCTTTCTTATACCGCATCAATCTGAAGTATTTTACATATTCAAAGTCAGATGTAAAATAAATTTTGAATCGAAACAAAACATTATTGATTCTTATGATTTTCGATAAATTGCTACATATTTTTATTTTATTTATTCGGAATTAAAAAAATTGTTTTCTTAAATTGCAAACAGACGTGGTTTACAAATTACAAACAAACAGTTTCTCTGTGTTTGTACTCACCTCATAAACATTGGGATGCCAAACTTTTGTCTTGAAACGAATACTTGGTGGACTGTATGGATAATCTGGCGGGAATTTCATGTGTGCCTGTAAAAAAAAGAATAATTATTAGTAAAAAAAAAAATAAAAAATCTAAAAATTAACAACATAAATTATAATTGATATTTAAATTATTAAATATTATTATTTTCTTTTAATTTCTGCTTTATTAATAAAATTATTAATTATTTTTACATTGTTCATTAATATTCATATAATATCTCTAAAAAAACAAAGTTTTGGGGAGTTTATATACAAAATTTGAAAAATAAATTTGAAGGTTCAAAAAATTTGAAAAATTGAAATAAAAATAAATTTTCCCCTTTTCAACATACATATTAATCTTTCAATACATGTATTTTCTTTCCTGTTTGATTTCTCATTTATTCTTATTGCGATATTCTATAAGAGCTTTCGATTTGGGCAAATTGCCCGCAAGAAGTAAATTTCGTTTTCTAATGTACAGCTTGGGTGAAGCTTCGCCAACGGGACGCTATATTGATCGCGACCTGGTCATGGCCCAAATATCCTCCCATCCTCTGGGATCCCCCCTAGAGCTAACCTACTTTCATTTCCAGTTGTTCAAATACTACTTCTACTCAAATTCAACCCTTTTCCCTCCCACCCCTCCAATCTTTATAGTCTACATGTGCTTTTATCTCCGTGTGTACCCAAAAAAAGAGGGAAAATTTTTTTTTCATTCTTTCCGTTTGTTTTCATATAATTTATCAAACGAAATTAAGGGAAAAATCTGACGGACAGTCAATAACAAAAGTGTCAAAATTTCGTTTCTTAAAATGGGAAAAGGAAAATTTTTAATTTAATTCGCTTTAGTGAAATGCCTGAAATGTAATTTTTAACATTTCAAACAATTGAAAGAAGTATTTGAATAAAATTTACTCTCTAAATCTGAATCAGTTAAAATAACTATAATTATTATAGTAAAATCGTGGCTAACTTTTTGCTTCAGACATTAGTATAAAAAATAGTTAATTATTAGTAGATAATTACTAATTGTTTGTAAATTAATAACTAAAATAAAAATCGTAGCTAACTTTTTGCTTCAGCAATTAGTAAAAAAATAACTAATTATTAATAAATTAATAAATACAAAAATAGTCAAATTTCTCTAATTGAATTAGTTGACATAAATTTCAGTTATTTTTACACAACCTTTGAATTTAACTAATAATTAGTTATTAACTTTTTCATTAGTAAAATATTACTATTTGCATCAGTGACTGATTTTTTTTTCTATCAAATTATTTTTAACTAATTCAAATTTAGAGAGTACAATTTTTTATCTGTTTCCGAAACATTTGTTTCAGGTTTATGTTAACTAAATTGTTTCTTATTAACAGAAAATTGTAATTTTTATTTGAATGCAACTTTAAATTGGTTAAAATATTAAAAACTAAATTCTTTCATCCACAAAATGTATTTTTTCCAGTGTATTTAATTTTTATTTTATTTATTACTATATTTGTAATAAACTGTAAAATAAAATAAATGTAATAAGTAATTTATTCTTCCACTTAATTAAATGATATTTACAAAAAATTAAATAATAATAATAAATAAACGAAAAGAATAATTGGACTAAAGAAATATATTGCCACAAGCACACGTAAATGTGATTGTGTTGATATGACTTCGAATTACACTTTGCAATTCTATTGGACTATTAAATCTCCAGGAACTAATTACCAAACCGATCAGTGACACTTTGTCTTACGTGTTGGCAGTTTCACAGTTATATTCTGTATAAATTTCACGAAAAGTTTGAAATTTCAAATCAAAGGAAATACTTTTTTTTCTTAAATATTTTTTCCAAACAAAAAAAAAAAAAATACGCAGAAAAGAAATTTAGTTCATTTGAACGTTTGAAATTTTAGTGAAATATACGAGATAATATTTTTTCTAAGTAAAATATAAATTTACAGTACGTATTTCAAACAAGATTTTTTTTCACAATTTTTTTATTATTTACTATTATCTACTCTCTGTAATTAGTAAAAATGTTTACTAATTTGAAATTTGAATTAATGACTGACTTTTTGCTTTTTTAATTGGTAAATTTTACTGAATAAATTAGTTTCACTTATAAATTAGTTAAGAATAAATTAGTTTTACTAATTTATAATTAATTACTAATAATAATAGGTACTAATAATAATAATACTAATAATAATAAATTACTAATATTTTACTTAATAAATTAGTAGAAATAACAAATTTATTCAAATTTACTAATTCAAAAGCAAAAAGTCAGTCATTAATTCAAATTAATAAACTACATCATAATTTTTCAAAAACGTACGTTCACAAACAATAAAACAAAAGCATATATCAAAACGAAAAAAACATTCTATTTTTAAATGCATAAATAATTTTCGTGATATAAATAAATATAAGTTATTTACAGTTTCTGATGGTGGAAAAAAGTTTTTTTTATTTAAAAAAAAAAGCTGAATAATCTATGTCTCTGAGGAAAATTATGCAATTCAATGAAGTGCAGACTTCCAGGTCTTCAGATGTGATTACACATTTTTTCTTCTTTTAACATAAATAACATTTCTCATTATATACCTGTTTATCGTTATTAGATTTATATTACATTTAATTACAAATTTTTTCTTGTAATTGTATCCAATTTTTAATTAAAATTTCTATTTAACGTTCAATTGAATTTTTATAATTAATATTTTTACTTGATATATTCAATTAGATTTTTAATTAATATTTCTAGTTAATATTAAACTAAATTTTCAAATATTATTATATTTAATAAATAATTTCTTATTTAATGATTTAATGTTAACATTCTATATACCATATAAATAAAATTTATTTAGATTGCATTATAAAAATAGGGGAAAAAATTGAAAGTTTGTTTACTATCAAAACTGTGGGAGAATTTTTCAAATAAAGTCTCTATTCAAAATTTTGACCTCATTTTCAAAAAGACGATGACCTCATTCAACATATTCAATTCGCTCTAGAGTAAGAGCGACCGAGACATTTTCACGACCCAGTTGTCATGAACGGAATTATTTGAAAAACAGGAGGACCAATTTTTTTTTTCTTTCTTTCTTATATACAATGCTACATTTTTGATTCACTCTCTCTCTCTCCTTCTCTCTTTGATTGTAAAATATTGATATATTCAAATATATTCGCGATAATTGCATGTAAATGTACCTCAAATTATTATAATAATTTTAAAATGTCACAAGTTTCATTTCGGAAAAACCCTAATACCGTAATCCCTTCCTCAATTTCTACGACTTCCATTTCATGTAAGAACATTAATAGAAGACTGAGAAAAAAAAATATTCAATTTTTCGCAACAAAATATAATTTAAATTCACGCCATAATTATTTTTATTTTTAATTACATTCATAAAATATAGTTGTTAATTATATTATTATTATTATCATCAAAAACAAAATTAAACCTATGGGATTTTTATAATTTACTTTTATAAAAATTGACGCAATATTATTACAATAAAATTTGAATTTGAAGAAGAAATAAATAAATTTCGTTCATTTGAACGTTCAGGACTTTAGGAACATTTTGAATTCAATAAATTTTGCTTCAGTACTAATATAAATATTTTTATACTAAATTATTTTATATAAAATGCCAATATAAAAATTTCGAACTAAAAGAACAAGAACAAAATTACACAATTAGAAATTTTATAATTATTCACCTTTTTTAAACGTGATTCAAAATTATACAATTTTAGTTTTAAAACTAGTTTTAAAGAAGAAATCATCAAAAAAATATTCTTCTTTTCCCCTAAATTTTTTTATTATTATTTTTATGAACTTCACCAAAGTTATTATAAAAAATAAATTAACAAATTTAATAATAAATAATAATTTCATTTATACATTTTATGTAGATGGAAAAATATTCACAAGCAATTAAATAAATATATTGTATTTAGTTTATTAAAATGAAAATTTCAGTCATCCAAATTATTTCTAACTGTATTTTCTTTTGCGTTCGATTCATTGTGTAATGCACCTAATTGTTTTTTTTTCTAAGATCGACTGTCGTAATCAAGTTTTACGTAGGATGGCACAATCGAAGCAAAGAAATTCTTGTTAAAACTAAATATATTGTGTTTCTATTTTCAAACACTTTTTCTACTTAAAAAATTTTGTTTTCTATTTTAAAATATATACTTTTTCTATACTTAAAAATATATTTTCTATTTTAAAATATTTTTTCTACTTTAAAATATATTTTTTCTATTACTTCCTCATGGAAGCTTTATATACTTTACCGAAAATTTTCAAAATTGATTTTTCACTTTTCTTATACGTTGCCTGACGTCAGGAACTCAAAAATAAAATGAAAATATTTATGAGAAAGCAAAGTGTTCATAAAATACATTGGTGAAATTCAAAAACGTTTAGAATCAACGATTTCATAATTAAAATATTTTTTTAAGCAAATTTTTATTAATAATCGGTTATTTGAAGCAAATAAATTTTTGATTAAGAAAATATTAGTTTGTTTTTTTGAATAAAAATTTCCAAAAATATACTAGGTGAACAACAAATTTTATTCTTTTTGGTAGAAAAAAAATTTTCAGCTTTAACTTTGCAGCGGTTTTATTGTTATTGTTATTACTATTATTATATTATTATTAAAGGTAGATATTATTATTTTCAAGATTATTTAATTTCTTGTCAAAAATATGGACAGTATTTCTTTAAACTTATATATAGTTCAGGGAGGTGAATATGGAGAGTGGTTTAGAAAGCGGATTGCATATAGAAACGCGGGTAAAAAGCTTTTATTCGCTAGAGGTAGAAGTATTCAATTTACGACATAAAAAGCAATGACCAATTTTAAATTAGGTAACACAGGAGCCGTTATATTTCAACTGTTTTCGTACCTGAAAACTTTGTGTGTATACAGACAAAAAATAAATTCAATTTATAAAATGAAAAATAATCCATACGCAAAATTCAAAAACAATAATAATAATAAAAAAAAAATAATATTAATAATAAGAACAAGAATA